AACAAGGACACGCAATCTTCGCTCGCGCAGAAAGCCGGAGATCCACTTACAAAGGCGGCCGGGAAGACCATATGCCGGAAGCTTGGAGAGGAGACCACGGTGCCAGACCCGATCAAAGGCCTTAGCAATATCCAGACTTATCGCTAAGGTTTCGCCCAGTTTGTCGATAGCTTCACCCCAGAGATGCATTAGATACGCTAGAACGTCACCCGTTGATCGGTTCGGCCGAAACCCGTACTGTCGATCATTAAGAATGGAGTGACGTTCCAGGTGCCGGATTATCTGGATATTTAGAATCCGCTCCATCACTTTGCAGAGCACTGAAGTGACAGCTATTGGGCGATAGTTTGTCGGATCAGACCGATCTCCTTTCTTGGGGATAGGTTGCACGTTGGCCTCCCTCCAAGCTAGGGGCACGTTACCAGATTGGTATGAGAGGCGGTATAAGCGCGTCAGTACGGGAGACAACTCTGCCGCACACCTTTTAAGGACGATAGGAGGTATCCCATCCGGACCATAGGCTTTCCGCACGTCAAGAGTCTGCAATTCCTTGCGGACATCACATTGTCTGATAACTATATCAGGCATTGTGACTCCGCAGTGGGGAATTGACGGCGGTTGCGCATCTTGGTCGTGAATGCGCGAGTTAGCCCCAAAAAGGTCGGCCAATAAATTGGCTTTCTCTTCGGGGCCATAGGCCAAAAATCCATTGGGATACCTCAAAGGCCGCAGCGACGAACGACAAAAATTGGACTGCACAGCTTTGGCCAGGCTCCAGTAGGCACGGCTACCGGTGGGATGGGCTACCAGCTTCTGGCCAATCCGTGAAACGCGCTGGGCATCCGCTCTTATGTAAGCCCTCCTGCAAGACTTGGTTGCTTTGTTATAGGCTGCTTTAAGGGACGCAAGGTTGGGATCCTTTGTTACACGACCCCTGATCCAACCACGATATGCAGCCTGTTTCTCACTAACAGCGTCCATGCATTCGCGATTGAACCAAGGGCGTCCTCTGCGATTGGCGATGACACTGGAAGACGGTATGTAGTAATCCATAGCCGTTCCAATCTCATCGACAACAGCATCGGCAGCTGCTGAGGCATCCTTTCCCGCAAAGCAGTGCTGCAACCAAGGGATGGATTCATGGTGAGCATTAAAGTCCCCCAACACGACCATCTCCGCAGATGGGAACTGCGCCTGCGCGTCAAGAGTCGCCTGGCTCAGTTGGTCAAAGAGCCTAGTTGTCTCCGCATCCCCGCTGTGGGATCTATATAAGCACGCGAAGACTCTAGCTGAACAACTAGATTCTACGAGCACCCACATAGTGGAAAAGGAGGGGTCCTCCAGGCAGCGCAGACGGCGACAGCACACATCCGAACGAATATATACACATACCCCGGCTTTGGCCTGAAAGTTTTCCTCAAGCGAGTAGCCGGGGTAGTTCAAGTAACTCATATCATTCGGACGGCGGATCTGCGTCTCCGTCAGGAAAAGCAGGGCAGGCCGGGCTGTCTCGAGGTGATGGCGGACAGCTTTGAGGTTGGAGTGGAGTCCGCGGATGTTAGCGAACTCAATAATAAACACGGTGGGGGGATTAGGCACCGCTGGACGATCTGCATTCTTATGTTGCGCTGGCATGGTGGGTAAGAAGGACGGTAGTGTGAAGAGATGAAGCCTTCGGCACCGTACCGAAGAAGAAAAACGAGGGGAACTGCAATACATGCCATTGATCTTTTGAAGGATAGCCGGCTGACCCGCCGAACGGAAGGGCCCCCGTACCCCCCCGGGATATGCCGCCGGGACCCCATATTCCGGTCACTAACCGGCACGACGACCTACCCCAAGATTATGCGCGGCATGGTGGGGCAGCCTCTAGGGGTAGTTAGTCCCTATTGGGCCCCTGTACTGTACCGCGGGCGGCCAGCGGACAACCGTTTCTACGGGTCTCCCTGGGCGGCAGGTCAACTAGATATCCCTCAACAAGTGACATGGCGAATATCCGCCTCAGTCCTCCCAGATACCGCGCCGAAAACTCCACGTGCACTGGATGTACAAAAGGTGGCAACATTTGCTATTTAATGTTGGAGTAATTTTAATGTGTGCTGCGTTGTATGTTCTGCTTGTGGGGAACCGTGTTTCGGTGTTGCTGGTTTTCAGTTGTTCTCGTTTCCATAAACAATTTTTTGTATTATTGTATTATGTATTATATCATTACTCCCTGTCCTGCCACATTATTTACCGTAATAATATAGTCTCAGTCTGCTACTCAATACAATGTTGTTTACTTACTTATAATTATGAACACGTACACGTCACCGACTGTAATAAAATATTTGTTATTTTTATATGTACCTAATGGCTATTAATAATATTAAAATTGGTTTACTTAATGCAGGCTCACTTGGTACTAACCACGATGAGTTCGTCGCCGCTATGGAGCGTCATGATGTTAACATAATGGCCATTAATGAGACCTGGCTGAGACCTGGCACCAGTATATCGAACAAATGTGGCTCATTCTCAACGTCAAAGGAATTAAGCTGGCAGTGGGTACAGCCTATAGACCTCCGTGGCAGGATGTTGATTCATTTCTGGATGCCCTGTGTAATTCTTTGAATTCTTTGTCTTTTTGCAGTTGGGTTGTGTTGCTAGGAGACTTTAATATCAACTATATGAATCAGTTAGACCCCAAGACAATCAGATTAAATGACTTCTTAAGATGTCATAACTTGCTTCAAAAGGTATTTTCTGCCACACTATACAGAACATAGCCAGACGCTTATTTGACCTGGTATGTACGAATTTGAAAGTCAATGACGTAGTTGTCGAGCCCTTAGCAGCGCTCGGAGGCCATGCTTTTATCTCTGCTAGTTTTAACCTTCGGCATACAAGGTGAAATTTAGTAACAAGCCGTACAAGGTGGGGTGTGACATACCCTAATAAATCCACAAAACGTGGTAATATTATTGAGTTTGGGTTGAATTGATTGAGGTTTTAATATTATGCGAAAGGTCATATAATAAAATATAATTTTAAATTAAGTAATTGTTTATTATTATTAGGAACAAAAAACAGTCAACTTCTGACTATATAACTGAATTGACTTGACATTAGGAACTATAACATAATATTTATTTTCATAAAATCACAGTAAAGGTTATAAAAATGAACACAATTGACTCTTAATGAGTGAACATATACATATCTATCCTTAAAAAGATAAAATAATAATAAAAGCTACTTTGAAATAATAAAAAATTATTCTCCATGTATGGAACAATTTTCACACAAAAAATGACAATGTTCGAGGCACAACGGTATGGAACATTTCTCGCATACATATTTGGTTTTGCGATCTTTTTTCCTAGGGCATTTGGAACATCTTTGGACACCATTCGTCTTTTTACCCGGTGAAGCCAATGATGGTTCTCCTAGATGTTCTCCTAATCTTTTACGTAATTCTTTGGGCAGCCTTTCGTTTTCTTTTCTATTTTTCTGATGCTCTTCCAGCAGCGATAAACCCAATTTCTTGAGAAATTTTCGCCTATGGTTAGATTTTTTCATTTGTATATTATTGTTTGATAGATAGACTATCATTGAGTTTATACCTGCATGATTCACCAAAGCAAAAAATATAGTGAGTGGCCACCGATTCGAGTTGCGGGAAACATCATAAGTTCTTGAAAGCTTATCAACTACATCTACGCCGCTTTTTGTTGCATTATAGAAGGTGATAATTTCTGGTTTTTGTTGAGCTCCAGTTTGTTCGTCTATTATTTGATCATGATGGAGTGATGACATTAAATAAACCATTTTTCTCGGTTTTGGCACATAAGACACCAAAGTGATATCTTTTTGGAACCCAAACATTGAAGATTTCTCCTCACGTCTGGTCTTGAATTCAGCTGGTAAACAGGTTTTATTTGCCCGTAAAGTACCGACAACAGTGAGCTTGTGGTACTCTAGTAAATGTTGTGTGCTCTCTAAACTGGTAAAAAAATTGTCCATTGTAACATTACGTGAAGTACCCGAAACGCATCTTACTATCCTGTCTACTACATCGTATGGTTTGTTGCTGACAGTGTATGGGCTGTTATCAGGTTGTTTTCCGCAGTAGATTTCTAAGTTTACTGTATAGAACGTTTTACAGTCAACGAGAGCATAGATTTTTATACCATATTTTGCCGGCTTCGATGGTATGTACTGTCTGAAACCACATTTTCCTCTAAACGCGACAAGCTCCTCATCCAACGTGAGGTATTCGTAGGGTGTATATGCGTCTTGGCAGTTGGTTACAAAACATTCGAATATATGTCGTATAGGTGCTAGTCTATCCGTTGAAGCTCTTTCTGTCCTTGTCAACATATCATCGAATCTTAAGTTATTGAGTAGAAAGGTAAATCTATTTCGTGTCATAGTTAGACGAAATATTTCAATACCCGTACCATCCGTCGCCCACAAGTCTTCTAAGTTTTCTCTTCCAGCGCGATATACCCCAGCTAATATTAATAATCCGATTAATGCCTTAAGCTCAATAAGAGTAATTTCAGATCTCGTGCAGTCAATGGTTTCAGAAGTACCATATTTTAATAGTAGATTTGTTTGAATCCTGTTATTCGTGTGTATCAAAATTGAATACAGAATATCCTCCGACAAAAACAGTTCAAAACATTCTAAGTGTGATTTCTTATTCCTTGCATGCGACTTGACTCCCGGTGTTTCCTTTATTATGTTTTCATTTCTGGTACGTACATTTATTCTTGGTGGATTTTTCTGCCATTTTGTTCCGTCTTTACCAATGAAATAATTTCTAGAAACCGATAAAGTAGGGCTTAAGATGCGAGGATGTTCCCGGTTTGATAAAGTGGACTCATTTGAAGACTGGCGAGAGCGGGTTTGCCTTATTGGATGACTTTGTAAGTGGGTAGGAAGCTGGTTGATATCCTCAGCATCTACCTCACTTTGATGACCTGACGCTATACTCAAGTGACCGGATTCGCAGTCATTTTCACACGGTATAACGGCGTCGCAATCGCTGTCGTCTTCTTCTAATAAACATTGTTCAATTAGCTCATTTCTAATACTAGCCATTATTTTTACCTATAACCAAAAATTGTATGGTATTGAAACATAATAAACATTATTATAATACCGAAAAAAAATAATAAGACCCTTACCTTTATATTTAAGTCCGATACAAGGTGGGGTGTGAGAGACCCAAAACACGTCCAGCGCCTAACAACGCGTGCATAACACTGAGCCAAAGACACCAATCGGAGCGGCAACGTTGCTAACTCAGCTACTAAAAGTGGCAACACTGACGCGTCATTATTTTAAAAATTGTAACGATTTTCAACCGTCCGGGGTGCACTAGACCCCATGTTGTATGCCGAAGGTTAATATTAAAAGGCCTAAAATACATCCTAGGATGCTAACTTCTAGGAATCTGAATAGTATTCCACTACTGGAGTTTAACAGGGACCTTTGTTCTGTTGATTGGACTACGTACGCATGGAATCATGATGTTAACGAAATTGTGGCCTTTCTTATCGTAAATTTAATTCGCATTTTTGACAAATATGCCCCTGTTAAAAATTATACAGTTACTGAGAGGTCGCATCCTTGATCACTCCTAATATTAAACTGATGATGCATCTACGAGATAAAGCTCACCTCACTTATTTAAAAACAAATTCACATGCTAGGAAAGAGTATTACAAGAGTCTTAAAAAATTAGTTAACACATCGTTGTATTGTGAAAAAGTTGCATATTTCAAGCAGAATATTAATAATAAAATTAATCATCCCAAAACACTCTGGAAAAATTTGAAAAACAACCTGTTGCCACCAGGAAATGATTCAGAGCTACCTTCGTTTATTAATGATCCTAATGTAATAAATCAACACTTTTTAAAAGTTAGTACGCGAGATATTCCTTTGTCTTACATTAGTTTTTATAAACAAAATAAGTTTAGTGACGCTACTCGCATATTGAATCCAGTCTATCCTAGTGATATTCTTAAAACACTGTCCAGTTTGAAGTCTAATGCAAAGGGCTATGATAACCTTACACTGGACATGTTTCTGCTGAGTCTACCGCAAACTTCTGACTTACTTACTTATTTAGTCAATAAATCGATTACTACGTCAATTTTCCCCGATCTTTGGAAAGTCGCTATGCCCTGCAAATGCTGAGGTGGTGACCTATTCGACGGGGCATGCATAGTAGCATACAACGTTTATTGTTTTTTGTCAATCCTGATTTTTACTCTGTTTCTTCTTTATATTTTTATTTTTTTGTTTCGTTTTTTGAACTGTTTACTTTTTTATGTATTTGCCTTCGTCGAATAAATGATTTTCTATTCTATTCTACCAGTGTATCATGGTGCACACAATCAAAAGCTTTGGAAAGGTCACAGAATACACCAATAGCATCATGTGATACTTCCCGTGCATCAAATATATGATTAATCAACTCGACACCAGCGTCGGTTGTAGAGCGACCCCGAGTGAAAGCAAATTGTTTAGGAGACATTAAGTTATTACTATAAAAATGTGCACACATCTGATTTAGAATAACTTTTTCAAATATTTTACTGAGAGTTGGTAGTATTGATATGGGTCTGAAATTGATGGGGTCAGAAATACTACCAGATTTGAAAAGTGGAATAACTTTACTTTGCTTCATGAGGTCAGGAAAGACACCATCATCAACACATTTATTAAAGACACAGGCTAAATAAGGCGCAATACAATCAACTATAGAACTAATTACTCTGACTGAAAGACCATCAAGATCAGCAGTATTTTTTATGTTTATAGACTTAAAGGCTTTAACAATATCGTTTGGAAATACATGACGGAACCTTAAATTAGTGATACTAGCTGCATTATTTTCTTTTAGTAAGGATTCAGCGGCGGTGGGAGATGAATTTAACGACTTAGTGGTCAAAATTGGAATGTCAGTAAAAAAATTTTCAAATATTTTAGCATTTTCTGCGTCCGTGTTTACAATTTTGTCATTAAATCTTAGTTGAAAATCTAAGTTACGAGGTTTGATCCTTCCAGTTTCGCTGTTTATAATATTCCAAGTCGTTTTTTCTACATTCGCGCTGCTTTTTATTTTATTATTTATAAACATTGCTTTGGCTGCAACACAAACACGTTTAAACATTTTCGAATATTTCCTAACAAAATTATTAAAACTGTTCAGACGTCGAAACCGCTAGATTGGTTTACTTCAGTTACTTTCACAGTCTAATGACATACGGCATTTTGCTTTGGGGTAATGCCGCCGATATCAATAGAATCTTTGTCCTGCAGAAACGTGCAGTTAGGGCAATTTACAATCTGGGCCCCAAAGTATCTTTGAGAGATAAGTCTAAGGAAATTAAACACATTCTTACACTAGCCTCACAGTACATTTATGAAAATGTAATTTATGTTAAAAGGAATAGTAATTTATTTATGAAAAATAGTGACAGACATAACATTAATACGAGGAATAGAAATAAACTAGCTTTTCTTGATTGTCGTCTTCACAAAGTCAAAAAATCATTTAAGGGGCAATGTATACGCTTCTATAACAAGATTCCGGTTGATATACAAAATTTGCCTTTCTCGAGGTTTAAAACTATAGTGAAACAAAAACTTTATACTAAAGGTTATTATACAATTTCTGCGTACTTGGATGACAAAAATCCGTGGTAGTAACCCGTTTAGCTCATGGAGGTAGTCTCGATCTCTGATGTTTCAAATAAAAATAAAAAAATATTGTAAATGCTATTTACAAAGAGCAACCCCTAGAGTTTCTTGCTCATTCTTCTCAGGGGAATCTGCCTTACGAATGAGCGGTAGAGTATAACCATTGTGACGATTTCAAGTGTAATAATGCTTAGGTACCTATGAAATAAAGATTATTTTGAGTTTGAGTTTGAGTTTGAGTTACTAGTGTTATAAGTCCTTTCATCGTAAAGATTATATAGTCTTTGTCTACTTTTGTGAACTCCCAGTCGCCCAATCACTAAATTTCAATGAATTATTAATAGTTATGATTTTGGACCTAAAAATGTTATCACGTTCACTTTTGACTATGTTGAAAACTGAATTATACAATTTATTGGGATCGTTAACGTACGGAAGTTCAGTTGGTTTAAGCATTATATTATTTCTATAAGCTTTAAGTCGACCATTATTTATCGTAACACATGTGATATCCTTTTTTGACATTTTGTCAACAGTTATATTAAAAGTGGCCAATTGACCGCAGTGATCAGAAGTTAATTTATTTATAATAGATTTATTACTAGGTACGGCGTTAGTATAAATATTGTCTAAACAAGTGGCAGTATTAAAAGTTATTCTAGTAGGCACCAAGAAAAGATTCACAAGATTATAACATTGGAAAAATGATATGAGCCTACTGCTAGCACTAGTCTATTCTTCTACTAGTCATGTCGTTTTTGTAGCTGCCAGGCTAAAATTTGGGGTTACTAATTGCTGGACCTTGGACGGAACCATACATATCAAATGACCGGATGGCAGAAGACGCAGGCTAGAGACTATGTCCGAGTTTCTTGCGATTTCTCCAAGTACCACAGCGAACAAAATGTAGGACCTTCTTTTTTAGTACTTTAATTCTTGGCGTACCTACTTAATTTTGATCTGTTTTGTAATGCAAAATTTTAATTTGCAACATTCGTTTGTTACGATTTTGTCTCTTGACGTCAACTGTCACTAACATCTTTTTGTGACAGTTACATAGCGATTATTTGTTCGGAAACGTGTTTAAATCTGTGATTCGTTTTGTTTTCGCTGTGACATGTCAATGTTGCGCCGACATGTTTTATTTTATTTGTATACTTTATTATTAATTTCGTAAACGGAGAAAACTATTAATTTCCGATGCTTTTGTGTCTTGTTTTCTAATTATTTTTTGTCATTGTAAGCTATTCTCTTTCACACTGCTGGCGGGTATAATGAATATTTTGGGTTTTTTTATTATCATCATTATTTTAGTTTTTTAATTTTTATCTTAATTATCTTTTATTTTTTAGTGCTTATTATTATATATTATATTCTCTGTAATTACATACATATTATAATATTATATTAAATGTTGCAAACTAATGCCTACAACAGTAATGACTCTTTGAGTGATGGGTTGGATTTTCACTCAGCGTCTTCGCTTTCTGATTCTAGTTTTCAAAGTGTGTCTCGACCATTAGATGAACTTCTGGAAGCTAGCTTTTCAGCCGTCACGAAAAACTTTAACGCAGTCCATATAAATGCACAAAGTATTCCTGCCCACTATGCTGATTTGGTGAGCACTTTCTCAAATAATAGGAATATTCACGCAATATTAGTTTCGGAATCTTTTATAAAACCATGTCTCCCTTCGTCTTCCTACGAGCTTCCTGGTTTCCATCTCATCCGCAATGATAGGACTGGTAAGGGTCGTGGTGGGGTTGCTATATACCTTAAAAGTAATCTTCCTTTCAATATTTTAGATAAATCCCCTTCTCCTTATTCTGAATCATCTGAGCATCTTTTTGTGGAAGTTTTTTTGGGCCATCAGAAGCTCCTTTTGGGAGTTTTTTACAGCCCAAATCTACATACTGATTATTTTAGTAAGTTTGAAACTTTATTGGAAGATTTGGTACCCACGGTTGATCATACAATCATTATGGGTGATTTTAACACCTGTCTGATTAAACACCACTCCCGTTCTACTCAGCTTCGCTCAATCGTGGATTCTACTAATCTTAGCATTCTCCCATCTTCTTCAACGCACCACTTTCCTGGATGCCAGCCATCTTTGTTGGACCTTATTATTGTGTCCACAACTGACCATGTTAGCGTACACGGTCAATTCCCTGCCGAGGCCTTCTCTTATCATGACCTCATTTACCTGTCATACAGAATCCGTTGCCCTAAGCTTAAGCCTCGGGTGGTCATGCAGCGCAATTTTAAGAACTTTGATGAAGGTAGCTTTATGCGTGACCTTGGCGGTATTGACTGGGACGCTGTTCTTAGAGCCCAAACCATCGACCTGAAGATGGAAATTTTTAATTCGATGCTTATCCAGCTTT